CAGGGTTTTTTTGGGGGGGGGGGTTGGGAAGAGGAAAGAAAAAAAAAAACCCCCCAGAACACCAAATACCACTTCTAAGAATTTTCAGCTAAACTCTACAAAACGGTAATGCATAACAGAGATTTGAGAACACGACTTGAGATTTTTTAAAAGAGATAGCAGTGATTTACCCACATGTGCCCCCCAATGAATATTCATACTATTTGCTATTCCAAGACTTTACAGTGACAAAACAAACTCTTGGGAGCCTTATTCTGTGAAACAGTGCTTAATTGCCACTTAATTGCCAAACCTCTCTTCCATCAATTGTAAATTGAACCCTCTGGAGTGTCTGTGTTGAAAGGAGTGGGAGGGGGGTGTCAGCTTAATCTGATTGGAAAAGCAGCGTTGACTTTCAACTCACCACAGCCACTGCCTGGGAGACAAGGACATCTGCTGTTGTCAGTACTGTGTAATAGGAAACATTGGTGAGCATATATCCCACGATCACTGTGATCACAGACACAATCACGGCCAGAGGGATATTTCTACAAAAGCGAAAAGGAAAAGGAAGAGAGACATCTATGAGTACAACTGTAGCCCCCCAATTATGATTTAATGCAATTGTCCTTGACCTGATGCCCTTCAGAGACGTTGGGACTGCAGTTTCCAAATAATGAGAAAGCGTGACCAAAGTTCTTCAGCCATCTTATGCCAGGCACTGGCACCCCAGCTTCCATGACAGGGCAGTTGGCAGATGAAAACCAGAGAGTGGGAACAAGAGCCGTGTAAACTGTCTTCTCCTCCAAAGAATGAAGTATAACAATGTTTAGCGCAAGAGGCATTTAAATATAAAAAATAAGCTACAGACAACTGCCCCAAAGGGAGGTAAAGTCAAGATAACAAGTGGATCAATTGGCTGGAATGAAGAGGTGGGCAACATTTATATCCAGTACAGGTCAGGATGATTTTTTTTTCTTGTCATTGTTCCTATTGGAAGGGCGTGCTCTATATATATATTCTGGGCTTCTGGCCATATGACTTGGCCATATGATAGAGGCCAGATTGTCCTCCATTTTGTGTCCTAAGACAATTTCTAACAACCTCGCCAAGGGGCAGGCGAACACAAACAGGATTGCAGCTTTTATAATAACGTATATCAGTGCTGTCACTCACTGCTATTAACAGCCTGGCATACTTAATAAGGACACACAATTTTATAATTCAGAAACATCTCTCTTCATGTCTGTGCATCAGCCAGAGTCTGGAGAAATCAAGGTGTCTTAAATATAACATTCAGCCTCTAGAGGGAGCCAAAGTTAATACCTGGATGAGAATTAAATTGACATTTACATAGACCTCAACTATATGGACATGTTCAGAAAGCATGCATGACTCAAAGAAGGCTTTGCCTTTTTACAAGCTTTGAGAGGAAGGGTCTATATTTAACATTGTTCTCTCGCTGATTTATCTATACTCCTCCTCCTCACAGGCACACTACAAGTTTTAGAGTGCTTTGCTTGAGCAAAAGTTAGGGCAAAGCATCTTTGCAAAGCTGCTTCATTCAATTCCCCCCGGGCCCTTATCCAGCAGTTCCCATAGCCAGAAGAAATGCTGTGCAGATGTTGCACATGTGCAGAATCCTTTTCTGGAACTCATTCAGGCACTTTGCATCATTCCCATGCTGCAGAGTCTTGCAAAGTGCAGCCATCTTGTATATCTTTAATTTCATTATCTTCCATACAAAAACCCAGACTGACTCTGCAATTCTATATGCACATGCATAGAAGAAAGCCTTCTGAATGAGCTTAATGTCTCTGAATGCACATACATAATTTGTCAAGGAATCTTAGGAAATCAGTGTATTGTGTATCAGTGTATTGTGTATGTACAATGATTTATCTATTGTCTGGAGTCTTGGGGTGGACTCAGAAGGACCTAAGAACTTCTTCATTCACTGAGATATCCCAAACCTCTTTGTTAAAGTTTCAATGTTCATCTTGTATAAAATTATGCTGCTGGTCCTTATGTTTATAAAGCTGGAAGGAAAAAAATGGGCATTTTGTTCCCTATCTACACAACAGGGAACCATTCCTGCTTTTCAGTTTTCTAGACAGTAAGGGCTAAAGCATTAACTATGATATTTGATTGCAAAATTAAAATATTATTAAGTTTTTGTTCTGGCAGTGCTCCATCATTTCTGCCTCCTCATAGTTTTCTTTTATATACCTACAATTTCTATATCACAAAAATGTATCTTGTTATGCCTGTTACTCTAGTCCAGTCTTCTCCACCAACCTGGTGTCTTCCAGATGCATTTCCAACGAGCAGAGGAGTTCAGTCTTAACACATCTGGAGGGTGCCAGATTGAGAAAGACTGGTCTAGTCAGAATGAAGTTTCATCTTTCCAACTCACCGTTCTGGCTTCACTAGTTCTTCTCGTACAAAACTAGTTTGAAACCTGCATTAAGGGAGGAGCAAGAGACAGAAAGGATTGTTTCAGTGATGGTGAGAAATCATGAGAGGGTTCCATAAATATACATTAAGAATGCATACCATCCAGAGTAGGCGAACATCCCTGCATAAAAAGCTAAAGGTAGTTTGTCCAAAACGAGTGCTTGGGCATTGAAAGCATCCTGGAAATTTCCTGTACAGCCTAAAGAAAACAGTAAAATTAGGAAGCAAAGGCATAGCATAAACAGACATTCTGATGACAGATAGATTAGTACCCAAGTCAGGTTTTATTGCATGTATGCATGTAACTTGGTGGTAGAGCACATGATCTGCATGAGAGAGATGGGCCCAGATTCAGCACAACCATTTTGTCTAGCAGGATTGGGTTGCAGGAGGTAAGAAGCCTTTCCCTCCGCTTGAGTTCCCACCAAGCCACAGCCTGTCACAGACAATAAATGAATTATAAGAACAAATAGATTGGGTTAACACATTGCAGTAAGCCATGTTTTACCCATAGTTTGTTGAGTACGTCATAAAATTACAAACTATAATGATTGGTTTTCTTACAGAGAACTTTCTGTTCTGTTTCTGAAAAAAAAAAACCCTTCCTCTTCTTCATTCCTGCCAAATTGTATGTGGTGCATTCAAAGCATTCAAACTTCTGATGATAGTCTAAGTATACAGAGAAGTAGCCCTTAAAGTATAATATAAGTTATTATTCTATGATATTTTAAAAAGTAAATCATGGGTAGGCAATATGGTTTTGTGGGTACCATTAAGACTGCAGGCGATTTTCTTGACAACCACCAAGCTCCCTGCTCTATCTGATTTTAACTCTGATTTTAAGTATTTTAGAAATGTAATGAGAAGATGACCTGTATAGAACATCCATCTCTAAGATCACTGAACCGCACTGCCTCTTTTTAGGCCATATGGGTATTCTTAGAAAATAAAAAGGATTCACTGTTATAGGTTAGTGCTTTATTTAGAAGAATGCTACCTAAAACAAAAGGGTGTACAACTATACTAGCGAATATCCTGGAGGATAATGATGAGGAACAAACTCACTCATTTGCCTTCTAGTAAATGGTTCCTTTGTGAATGGCCATTTTGTGACTAGCAATCCCCTCCCCACTGATAGCCATTTTCTAAGTGTATCCATAATATGTCCTTCAAATTCCAGATACATCTGTCACCCTAAAAAGTTTTCCCCTTCGGAAATATTCCTTGTATTTTTATCATTGTGTTGATTAATAGGCAAGAACAACAACTTGAAATACCTTGAGCTAAAAGCATCATGCCTGGGACAATGATGAGAGAAAGTGCTGCCAACTTGATGATAGACAAGATGGTCTGAAGCCGGGCACTCCAGCTGACACTCCAAGAATTTAAGATGAGGACAATGTCTGGAGTGGTAAGAAAGGGAAAGCATTTGATCTGCATAAGTTAAGCACACAAAATCAGCACGACTCACCAATGTGAGTCTTTAGCTAGATCACCACTGCTATGGAAATAAAATGGTCATGATTTCCATTTGGGACTTACAGTAGCCCAGGAGAGCAACAAGCTTCACGGCGAGGAGTGGAGCCGGACAAGGTGCAAAAAATGGTTCCAAGATGTAGCGTCCAAATGCTAGAGCGACAACGGCACTGTTGGCTGGTCTAGAGAAAAATTATATTCTTTGAGGATACTTGAAGAGGCTACAGAGCATGGTGAAACATTCTAGTGTAGTTGATGATTATGATGATAATGATAATGATAATAATAAAGAGGAGGAGGAAGAGGAGAAGGTGGAAGAAACAGCAACAACAGAAACATTCAGTTTCTCTCAATGACTCGTTTTTTGAAATCTGACCATTTTATTTCCTTTCAGATTGTCTCTAATTCATTCATGTAGTTTGTCTTATTCCTTTAAGAGTGGTTTTTTAAGTTCATTCTCAAATTTGCATGTACTTTTGTGTAGATTCCTCTGACAACATGCATTTTTATTTTGCCTACACACAGAGATTTTGCAAACAATTTTCTCTAAAGTAATGCATTTTTGTACATTAATGTGCGTGCATAAGTACATGCATACACACACATGTATACACAAGACTGCAAGATTGAGAGATGTGTAGACTAGAAAAGTTAGATTTATGTGTTGGTTCAAATATATGAAAATAAGTAAGTTGCATCCAGATACAAACTAAATGAATTTCTCTACCCTTTCTCTTTATTTCCTTCTGTATGATCATATTCTTGGTGGGGTTATTTCTAAGATGAACAGTCATACAGGTTTCACTGACTAGTGGGCTGTCCTGTCCAGATTTTCTGTCCAGAAATAAAACACTCAATCTATGAATGACCTAACTTCTTTAATTTGATATATTTGAAATACATGTTGATGTTCTAATAAAAATACATACATAAACTCCATATTTTAATCATTCATCTTCATAGCTGATACAATCATAGATAACAAAAAGTGCAATAAATATTCATGACTATTTTAAATGTACCAGACATGCATCTTTTGACATTCAGTGTAAAATTCAAGTGCTTTGGAACTGCTGTCTTTGTTATCTTAATGTTGGCAGATTTTAACAAATATGAAAGTTCATAAACTGGCAGCAGTTGGATATACAGTAGTTGTACACCATCTATCAAATAATTTCAAACCAAACATCCTCTCATAAGAGGAATTAACTGCCATCAAACATTTCATATCCCTTAATATTGGCTGTCCAGAAACCATATTTGAGTTATTCATTTAATATTTAAAATTAATCATTTTGCAAGTTAATAATTGTTGAGTGCATAGTACAAATTTTCTGCACCTCATACTAAGGATGTCCTTGGGGTGGAGTGGGGGGTAAAAAAAGTCAGGATGGTAGATGCAACCGCACATTTGAAGCCTTGACCCTTTGATCACATGGTCATGCCTACCATCTTGACTTTTTTGACTAACCTTTCTGGACATCCCTCCCCTGTATTTTCCCAATTGGCACGGCTGATTCAGGCCAAAACAAAGGCAAGACACTCTATCATTCTGCTAATGACAAAAGGTTGTTATTGCTTCATAAATATAATACTTTATGTCAATTTCCCTAGGCTGTCTTTTATTTCTGTATCCAAAGTCTGCAGATATTTCCATTCACATTTGTGTATTAGTTATTCTATGTTAATAAATGGTTCAGAGCATTTCTCGTTCACCATTATGTTTCCTGAATGTTGTATATGGAAAAGTTTACCTTATAGCAAAGTATTCAGCCCATAGAAACAGGAATCCAGGCAGAGGACCTAGAGTTTCCAAGATATAAATGTAATGGCCTCCGGACTTGGTGATTCGTGTGCCCAGTTCTGCATAACTCAAAGCACCTGGAATGATTTAAGTACAACTTTAACAAATCCTGATGGAGACATTTCCTGTACTTTATATTGTAAAGGCTTGGACATTCTAAAGTGCTGTCACAGGAAAAGAGAGAATTAGGGCTTTCCTAGCCTAAACCCAATGTAATGTACCCCAGCCTAAACTCTTATGAGGGAATAGATATGATAAATGCACAACAATAATGAGTTCATGGCTAAACACATTCTGTGGTCCTACCAGGGATAGAGGAGGGTTTCAGAGAAAGAAAGGACATCCCCATTTGCTTGCACTTTACTGGCCTAAGCACTACCCAGTATGAAACTCTGAGGAAATGCAGCCCTTTATTGAAAAAGGGCCACCATTCCTGTTCTGTAGTAGTCACACTTTTCTTCCCCTGCAAGGGATGGGAACACACTGTGGCAAATTAGGTGGGAATGAGAGCTACAACGAGTGAAGTGATGGTACAGATCTACAGAACCATTTCACGTGCAGGGGCTGGGCCCAGAATTTTCTATTTGCAATGGAAAGGAAGAGATAAGTTAAATCTATCTGAAGGTTTACACCGTAGTTTTTATGCATTCTGCATTTCAAAGAGGAAGGCTATTAGCTCACCTATTTTGTTGTTGCTTAAGAGAGTTTGGAGCACATATTTGGATCCCAGAACTACAAACGTCTCTAGAACTTAACCCTGTCCTACACAAATGTAGAACAAGGACCACAACTCAGACATGGTGCCTATACTTTCTATACAACAGGTCCCAAGTTAAACCCCCTCCTCCATGGTCTATAGGAAAAATTGGGGAAGATCTGCCTGTCTGTGCTCCTGCACTCTGAAGATGCCGGTCACAGGTGCTGGCGAAACGTTAGGAAACAAAACTTCCAGAACATGGCCACACAGCCCGGAAGACCCACACCAGCCATACTGTTCAGTGTTTGAAGCCCTAAAAAAGCTTTAATGTCGTTTTACAAACAAAGGAATCCCCCACCTCACCTTCAAAACTGAAAAAAACTAGAATAACCTGTCCCTTTATATGAAAATGTGGCCCCACATATATTACATCTTCACTTCACCCACTGTGGCTTCACTCCCTCTGAAAATATTAAGTATGGTCCCCATTCACTAACTCTAGTAGTAAGTGTGCATCTAGAATTTCTGGCCAAAACTGTGCCAGTCCCAAATCATTACATCAGGGAACAGCAGCATCAACTTGCACACTCAGCAAAAGCAATGCAGGGATTGGAGCATGATGTTCATTAATTAAGAAACCACATGGACAGCTTGATGTTGAAAATGGAGGTTGGGATGTGAAGCTGCATGATCAGGGCTATCGGATCTGGGACACAAAAATCTAGATGGCAGCAGAGATGGCAATATTTATTTTTGCCACCCAGATCTCATTGCCCTAGCCCAGTGTTGTCCAAACTTGGCCACTTTAAGATGAGAGGACCAACTCCCAGAATTCCCCAGCCAG